GTTGAGACAGATTTTCATGTGGTTTTGCTAACTCTTATATTTTCCTGCCAACCACTGTGTAACTGCTGCAGTTTTAAAAATAGAGAAGCATTAGAGGAAACTGCCACAGATAGGAAAACCTGATGTCACAATGGGGTGGTTTTGGTCTGAATTGGGGCTTCTTGTAATCTGGAAATCACCAGCTGCATGCGACTGATGAATGGAGAACAAACACAACATTGATTTGCCTCTTGGGTTCCCAGAGTTTCAAGATGTTTAAGTAAAGTGAAAGCATGGTGGATTTCAGCATTAGGACATGGTTTTGGACAGGAGACTGAAGATTTAATGTGTTTTTTTTATTTTTTATTAATTATACAAGGAAATATATGTGTTATATTTTAACGTGATTAACACACTCAGCCTTCCCCCATACATGTGTAAGTCATTTCATACATACTGACTGGAGGCTAAAATGGTGGACAAGAGAAACTGTGACAGCCTATAACATGCTGTTATATGGCAGTTAGATCTAAGATACTGTATAAAAAACTGCACTGTATGAGTTCTTGTCTCATATTTATATCATACATGATAGTTGGGCATTATTACAATCGCATGAGTGCAGGGTTGTCTTAAATAGCAGGAGTGTGAATGTGATAATTATTGCACTACTGGTCAGTAAATATGTATATTAGTTAGTAATCTCATATATTTAGGGCACAGTATTCTCTATTGTGATGATAAAAATATTGACTATGTAGTCGGCATGGTGGCTCAGTGGTTAGCACTGTCGACTCACAGCAAAAAGGTTGCTGGTTTGAGTCCCGGCTGGGCCAGTTGACATTTTTGTATGGAGTTTGTGTGTGGGTTTCCTCTGGGTGCTCCGGCTTCCCCCACAGTTCCAAGACATGTAGTATAAATGAACTGGATGAACTAAATTGGCATTAGTGTATGAGTGTGTGTGTGTGAATGTCAGAGTGTTTGGGTGTTTCCCAGAACTCTGTTGCAGATGGAAGGATATCTGCTGCGTAAAACATATTTTGGAACAGTTGGCGGTTCATTCTACTGTGGCAACCTTTAATAAATAAGGGACTAAGCCGAAATAAAATTGATGAATATTAACCATGAAGCCACAATGCTGAATTAATCTTTTTGTTGTTGTTGTTGTTTTTGAAGTGATAAATTACTAATTAGGCCGCATCATTTTCTTTTCGTCTTAGTCCCTTTATTAATCCGTGGTCACCACAGCGGAATGAACCGTCAACTTATCCAGCAGGTTTTTATGTAGCGAATGCCCTTCCAGCCTCAACCCATCTCTGGGAAAGGGCCCCATCATATACTTGGTGTAATGTGATGCCTGGCAAGTGTTTTTTGGTAGTTTCAGCTTGTCACAGGTATCATTTATACATATATGTCACATTGTTTAAATAGCAAATGCATTTATGTGCCACGAGGTGTGTGTCTGAAAGGAGGCGTGTTAAAGTACATAATCAGATAATGTTGCTGTGCTATTTTAAGGCAACTGAAATAGGTTGCGCTAGTCTAAAGAGTTTGGTTTTTATTTATTAATTAATTCATTTAATTATTTATGTTAGGTATATATATGTTAGGTACATGTCAAACGCATGTACACATTGAGTATTGCAGACACAGAGATCTGCTGCAGCACAAAAACATCATTAAATATGCAAAATTAAAGAATTAAAGTGTAATTTTATTGTATGCGTGAATATAAAGGGCTTACTCACACTATGCTATCTGAACCGTGCTCAGGCCCGTTTCCCGGATCGTTTAAGAAGTGGGAGTGCTCTGAATCGGGCTTAGGCACGGTTCACTTGGCTGGCCTTTGCCCGGTTGGAAGAGGTGTGTCAGGGCGTGGTTCACTTGGGCTTTGGTGCGGTACGCTGATAGTGTAAGTGTCAGTGCAAAGCGCGCCTGAGCCCGAAACTGAAGGCAAGACGTGACTTTTACGGAATTGCTTCATATGGATTTATTAATCATTCTTACTGATCAATCAACACAAACTGTCATAGATTATTAAAGACGCAAACCCCTCACTGCATGACAGCTGTACCTTTAGCAAACCTCCTAATTCCTGCAGCACAAGGACTTTATGATTGTTTATGAGCGTCCACGGTGCTAAGCGAAATCACTTACTGTACTGAACAGCGCATCATCAATGACGTAAGCGTGCCCAGACCTGAATGTAATGTGAGTGCGGGCTGTTGGGGTAACTAAGCCGGTTCAAGGCAACTGTACATAGTGTGAGCTTGCTAGTAAATTGTTTAGTTGTTCTACATACAAAGTCTGCCATGTAGATAGCAAATGTGCCTTAATTTGAACATACCTCACTCTTAAAGGGAATAGGAGAAGAGTTTCTCATTTATTAAACATGCCATCTACTGGCAGTATTGAATTTAATATTTAGAAAATTATTTAATAGGATGGTGGCGCAGTGGGTATCGCTGTCGCCTCACAACATGGTTCGAGCCTCGGCTGGCTCAGTTGGCATTTCTGTGTGGAGTTTACATTTTCTCCCCGTGTTCCTCCAGTCCAATAACATTGGTGTATAGGTGAATTGGGAAAGCTAAATTGTCTGTATTGTATGAGTGTGAATGAGAGTGTATCACAGTGATTGGTTGCAGCTGGAAGAGCATTCGTTGCGTAAAACATGCTAAATAAGTTGGCGGTTCATTCCGCTTTGGCAACCTCAGATTATTAAAGGGACTATGACGAAAAGAAAATGAATGAATGAATGATTTTATAGAATGAAGTTATTTTGTATTCTCTAAATAATAATAGTAAATAAATATGTTTTTTTTTATCCCCAAAACAATTTTTTGAGTCCTTTAAAACCTGTATTATTTTCTTTCTTGCTTTGTCTTTTTTTGCAAAACTTTAAATAAATATTTTGAAGAATGTAGCAAACAGATTTTTTAATTTAAACATCAATCTAAATACATCTTCTGATATTAGAAAACGTAAAAAGCATGGCTGATGAAAAATGTTAAAATAAATTTTAGATTGAATCAAATATCTCTTTCTAGAGCTACTTTTTGAAAATGTCAGCTTGATGCTTTTCTATTTGTCTATTCTTTTGAACTCAATAGTTCTATTAAAATAAAAAAATTTCTTGGGGATTAATTCTTAGTCAAATTTATTGTGTAATACTTTGGCTACATTGTTTAATTGAATGAAAAAAATGTAGTAAATTGATAGTCCTACTCCAGATAGCAAAAACCCCTCATGAAATTTATAAAGAATGAAATACTGACGAACTAAAGTCACAATACACTTTGTGAGTTCAGTGCACTGGGAAAATGATGTACTGTACAAATACCAGAATTTTTTACTCAGAAGAAGTAGATATGTTTACTCTCAAAGTTACAAAGGAACATCAAGTTACACAATGAAATGAAAAAAAAAAATACTCTGATAAACCAGATAGACAAAAAAAAGTTTACAATGTATACAATGGCATATAACTCTGATAAGTGAGACTGTGTTGCTTTGTTTGAAGTTAAAGGGTCAGCTTAGTCAAAAATGTTATTTTATTATGATTTACTGACCTTCATGCCATTCCGAACCAGTACAACTTGTTCTGTAAAGCACAAAATAAGATATTTTGAAGAACTAAAATGAATTTAAAATGAAAACATTTCTGGTGATCATTGACCCTTAAATTATATGGAGCTTTTTGAAAGAGTCCACCAAAATATTTTAATTCATCAGCTGAAATACCTCTTTAAAGTACAGTTGAAGGCAAAATGATTAGACCTCCTGTGAATTTTATTTATTTATTTATTTTTTTCAAATTTTTCCAAAATGATCTTAAACAGAACAGTATTTCCTATAATATTTTTTTCTTCTGTAGAAAGTCTTATATTTTTTATTTTGGCAAGAGTTTTTAATAAAAAGGAATACATTTTAAGGTTACATTAATCAATATTAGCCCCTTAATCAATATTTTTTGATTGTCAAAAAACAATCTCATTGCCCTAATTAACCTAGTTGACCCTTTAAATTGCACTTTAAGCTGAATACTAGTGTTTTGAAAAATATCTAGTAACATATTATGTACTGTCATCATAGCAAAGATAAAATAAATCAGTTATTAGAAATGAGTTATTAAAATAATTATGTTTATAAATGTGTTGGAAAAAAAAACGTTAAACAGAAATTGGGGAAGAATATATACAAAGGGTCTATTAATTCAGGAGGGCTAATAATTCTGACTTTGAGTGTGTTTGACAATGGAAAAATATTGGCGGAAACCAAATTAGGACAGGAAATCCTAGGTGTTTTCATATGTCCATACGGCTGAGATGCCCAGGATGACAGAACAGTGACAAAAAATCTACGAAGAGAAGAAAAAAAAAAACATACATAAACCTTACAGTTAAACTAAAAAGACTACAAACATGGTCCAAAAATAATTGTTTGTCTGGTTCTTACACAATGATAAGCAAGACCACGCCTTAGCTAACAGTACATGTGGTTGTGAAAAATATTGTTCCACTGTCAACAGTCATCTGTGTGGCCCAGCCTGTGGTCAGAGCGTATGACGGAGTGACTGCTGGCTCTCTAAGCCAACTCTTTAAGTTACATCTGAACTGCAGAGCTCTGGAGACACACACACACTTCCTGGCTCCTGGCTGTCATCGCAACGCAAACGTCATGAACAATGAGTGGAAACAGAAATGGCTGAAAACAATTATTCTTTTCATTGATGTGTCCTCCAGGTTTAGTCCAACTTTCTCCAATGCAGTTATTCCTAGCAGACATGTAGCCGTCAGTGTGATAAATCAAGTTTTTTTTTTTTCCTTTTTTTTGCAGTGTCTTATTTATAAGATTAGATTGAGGCAAAGCATGAGTCGATTCAACATGCATGCTGCTTGAATGCTCAAGGGTGCCACTGTTTGCAAACGTCATGACTTCAGAACTACTTGAAGAGTGAACGTTAAATTGAAAGTGAACATAGATTTATGTGCATTCAGATGCAATAACATGTACTCTCTATTTGTGCTTACAGGTCTTCTGTTTGTGCTGATAGAGGACATCATCATGCAGAACTGCTCGGTTGGCCAAAAAAAACAAAGAGGAAAGTGTGTAGGTATGAATGAAGGCTCAGCCATGATACATATCTGAATATCTTCATTAATATTTTTTGACTACTCTATCTCTCTTTTAAGAGCTTTGAGCAACATTGGAGCTCAATAGGGTTTTACTTAGATTGCACATAAACACATTATTAACAAACTTTTTATCATTATTTTACCAAGATAGTCCCTTTGAGATACAGCATCTCTTCTTCCAAGGGCTCCTGGCCAAATTTGCAGCACAAAAAATTCCATTAGAAAATTACAAACAAAAGGCAGGCAAAAATGTGCTCTGTTCTCATAAAACTTATTTGAAAGACAAAAATAAAAATAACAAATCAATCATAACAAGTAGTTCCCTTTAGTGTAGACCATAAAAGCCTGTTTAAGAAATTTGGATTGTACTTGTGAATTGTACCTGTACAGTTACACATTATCAAAAATATATATAAATAACATAATGTAGAAGTATATTGTATATTGAATAGCCAGTAAATAACATAGCTGCAAAGTAGGACTTATAGTACTTTAGTACTATAGTACTTATAGTAAGAATTGTGTACTGAAACAACTCACTGATAAGTTTTAAATAAAAAGTGAATGGCATGATTATTCACACATTTTCTGTCATTGCTGTAGATGAAGATGAGTGTGAGCAGGAACTCATTTGTGGAGAAAATGCAAACTGCTTCAACACTGTTGGCAGCTACTACTGTCAGTGTGACACAGGATTCACACCAGAGGGCACTAAACCAACTGTTAATTTCACACAAGCAGATGGGATTCAGTGCAAAGGTAAAGATTGACATATATTTCACATGACCAGCAGCAGAAACAGCATTTGAATCTGTTTGTCTCATTTTAGACACATTGGTGAATGTGTAGATGAAAACACTGATTGTTGCTCTAATGCAGAATGTGTGAATACTGGAGGAGGTTATTATTGCACATGTGAATCTGGCTTCTTTTCCAGCAGTGAAAAAAAAAATTTTTTTTCAGCAGGACTAGGAGTTCAGTGTCTAAAAAAAAGTGTTGCATGCAGAACTGTTGCAAACAATTTAGTTGCGTTGAATTTAAACAAACAAATTAAATTGAATAATGTTCAACTTAATTTGTTTGTTTAAATTTAACACAAATCAATTGTTTACAACCACTTAACGAAAAAAAAAATTTAGTAAATCCAAGGAATCATCTTTGAATAATTTTTTTCATGGTAAGAATTTTTTTTTCATGATCCATATTTTACATTGAACAGTAAAGCAATCCATGACATACTAATATTTCTTTTTATTTACTTAAGAGGTTTATGGATTTGAAATATCTCTTGAACTCTTTAGATTTTTAGTTTGATGTACTTTTTTAATGTTTTTTAATAAATAATAGCACAAAACTGTTATCTATGATTGCATTTAAATTGCAGGTTTTTGGTGAACAGCTTACATTTTGTTTTTTAATGTTACTCAATATCTGTTTTTGGCAAATAAGTAGATGTATTGATTACGGTGAAAAGAAAGTAAAAAAAACACACACACACACAATATGGAATGGACATCATTTGTATTAAGTTTAAGTTTATTAAATTTATAGAACACTTTCAAAACAGATAGGAATAAAGTGCTGGACATAAAAGTGCTATACATAAAAGTGCTGTGAATAAAATGCTAAATCAAACAGTAAGAGGTGAAGAAAATACAAATAGCAATAACTGCTTAATGAAGCAAGTGCAGACACGTTAAGAACATTAAGAGCAGATTAATACTTATTAAAAGCTAAAGAGAACAAGTGATTTTTAAGAAGAGATTTAAAAACAGGTAAAGAGGTGGCCATTCTGAGTTGTACAGGCAAATCATTCAAAAACTCGCCACCGAAAAAGCTCAGTTCCCCTTCGGTTGGGGAACTCCAGTGCTATAGGTGGATTTGATCTAGAAAATCCACGCATGGGAGGATTCGGTTCAGAAGCCGCTTGTCTGAAAGAGTATTGAATGGGCCAATGAAAGCAATGAATTGACAGCATAAGCTTGCGCAGGTGTGCTCCATTGTCAATTATCCCAGCATATAAGCACACCTGGCGTGAGCAAACGCCATCCTTTTCACTTCAGAGACTTTTCTGATCAAGTTCATGAGGGTTCCTCTTGCTGCTACAGCGACGTCAAGTGAACGAGTGTCTCCTGGTCCAGAGCGAGTCTACGCAGCGGCAGACGGTCGAAAGTTGCAAACTTTCCTAAAAAAGCAACACAGTCGTGTAGCACGTCCTTTTCAGGATGGCGCTCCGACTGTGCGTTTCTGGTTGCGGGGGTTTCCTGGCTCCGGATGATAGACACGATCACTGCATTACATGATTGGGGGTTCAGCATGTTAATGTGGTGCTCGGGGGCGGTTCATGTCATCATTGCGATGCCATGACCGTTGCGCAGTTGAGATCGCGGCTAACTTAGGTAAGAGAGCGAGCCACCCCAGTCGGCTCCTGCTCTGCAGCGGGCACTCGGGCAGATCTGAGGGTCTCAGCGGGAGATAATCCGCCGCCTAAGGGCTCGCGGACCTCCCACTCCTCCAAGCGCTCCATCCAAGCTTCGGGTACTGGGAGTGATCCATCTAACCAGATGGTAGCTCTCACGCTCGCTGACACCGCCGTCAAAATGGATCCTGAAGAGGACATGTTAGCCGTGCTTTCCCTGGCTGCTTCGGCCGTAGGGTTGGAGATGGTTCATCCCCCAGCTCCGCGGCCGGACCGACTAGATGGGTGTTACGTAGAGGACCAGAAGGCAAAGCCTTCGAAGCCTCTCGTCCCCTTCTTCCCGGAGGTGCACAGTAGGCTCACGCAGTCTTGGAGGGCACCTTTCTCTGCCCGCGCTGCGTGCCCCTCCGCCCTCAACACCCTTGACGGTGGAGCTGCCAGGGGGTATAAGGCGATCCTGCCAGTGGAAAGCGCCAACGCGGTCAATCTTTGTCCGCGTGGCGCCCCTACTTGGTGCGGTCCGCCCCGTCTCCCGTCCAAAGACTGTAGGTTATCTGTCTCCCTCGGAGCTAGAGCTTACAAGGCTGCGGGCCAGGCTGCTTTCACCTTGCATGTGATGGCCACCTACCAGCGCTACCAAGCTGCACGAGGGTGCTCTCCGGACTACTAAGTCCACCGCGTGTGCCCTGGGGAAGACGATGTTCACACTTGTGGTCCAGGAACGCCACTTCTGGCTAAACCTGGCTGATATGCGCGATGTTGACAAAGTTCGCTTGACTCGCCCATATCTCAGGCTGGCCTGTTTGGCGACAGCGTCTGTGAATTTACCCAGGAATTCAAGGCGTTGAAGGAGCAGTTGGATGCGATGTGCAACGTCATCTATCGGCTGGACCGTAAGCTCGCTCCGCCCGACGAGCCATCCACCTCCGCTACTCCTCGCCTAGGGCACCCGCCCTCGCATCGAGCACGTCGGAAGCCGGCAGCCCCTCCTGCCCAGGGCGCCGTTAAGTCCGGTAAACGGACCGCGAAGCGTCCCTGAGACAGGCCATCCGGACAGGAGGAAATTTGCTCTTTCCCCGCTGGAGGGCGGGGCCCATATTCCAACTGTACTTTTCAGTGCCACCAAAATTTCAATGAAAGAGCACTTTTTCCCTTCTCCGGATGTGACAGCTCAAGCCCTGCCAGTCTGGGACACGCCACTTCTCAGCTCGCAGGGTCCACATGCTCCGCCAGCGGCTCACGGGTGCTGGGGGGACGGTCTCCTTTCTCCCAGCCCTCAGGCCCCCTCTCCGGAGTCAGGGTGCGGAGCCAGAGCGAATCGCTTTCCTCCAGCTTTTCCGTGGGACCCATGCGCTTCCCGCATCAGCACACCCACTCCACGCTGCCCCACCACTGGTACGTCAGTGGTTGTAGCGATGACGCCATTAATGAGGGCTCTGCCTGCCTGGTTAGCGCGGGCCAGCCCCTCGCGGTGGCTCATACGCACAATCAGACTTGGCTACGCGATTCACCCTCCTGGCAAAGGGTGCAATCGAGCCGGTTCCTCCAGCCGAGATGGAGAGCGGGTTCTACAGCCCGTACTTCATCGTACCCATAAAGAGCGGTGGGTCACGGCCAATCCTAGATCTGCCCGTTTTGAATCTCTGTCTTCACAAGCTGCCGTTCAGAATGCTTACGCAGAAGCGCATCCTCCGATGCGTTCGTCCTCAGGATTGGTTTGCAGTCATAGACCTGAAAGACGCGTTTTTTTCATGTCTCCATTCTTCCACGCCACCGCCAGTTTCTGCGGTTTGCGTTCGATGGTCGAGCATGGCAATATAAGGTCCTCCCCTTCGGGCTCTCTCTGTCTCCGCAGGTCTTCACCAAACTCGCGGAGGGTGCCTTAGCCCGCCTTTGGCTCGCGGGCATCCGCATACTCAATTATCTCGTCGACTGGCTGTGCAGAGGATCTCTTTTCACGGGATGGAGCTGGACTCGGTCACTATGGTAGCGCGCTTCTCCGGAGAGCGCGCTCGCCTGTTGCTGAACTGTCTGAGGGAGCTCGACAGCAAAATAGTGGTCCCACTGAAATACTTTCAGAGGCTCCTGGGGCATATGACATCCACTGTGGCTGTCAAGCTGCTCGGATTGCTCCATATGAGACCACTTCAGCACTGGCTTCTAGATCGAGTTCCAAGATGCACGTGGCATGCGGGCGCACACCGAGACTCTGTTACAGCGATGTCACCCCACCCTCAGCCCTTGGAACGACCCCTCTTTCTGCAGGCTGGTGTGCCTCTGGGACAGGCGTCCAGTCATGTTGTGGTTACAACAGATGCTTCCAACATGGGCTGGGGAGCCGTGTCGCGGGCATGCGGCTGCGGGCCTATGGAAAGGTGCCCAGCTGCATTGGCATATCAATCGCCTAGAGCTGTTGGCAGTGTTTCTCGCTCTCCACCGCTTTTTTCCGGTGTTGGAGCAGCAACATAAGCTGGTCAGGACGGACAGTATGGTGGCGGGTTATATACAGTGTATATCAACCGCATGGGTGGTATGCGCTCTCGCTGCATGTCTCAGCTCGCCCGCCGTCTGCTCCTCTCAAGTCATCTGCGGCTGAAATCGCTGTGCGCCATTCACATCCCAGGTATGCTCAACCGTGCAGCCGATGCGTTCTCACGGCAGCAAATTCATTCTGGAGAATGGAGACTCCACCCCGAGTCTGTCCAGCTCACGGGTGCTGGGGGGACGGTCTCCTTTCTCCCAGCCCTCAGGCCCCCTCTCCGGAGTCAGGGTGCGGAGCCAGAGCGAATCGCTTTCCTCCAGCTTTTCCGTGGGACCCATGCGCTTCCCGCATCAGCACACCCACTCCACGCTGCCCCACCACTGGTACGTCAGTGGTTGTAGCGATGACGCCATTAGTGAGGGCTCTGCCTGCCTGGTTAGCGCGGGCCAGCCCCTCGCGGTGGCTCATACGCACAATCAGACTTGGCTACGCGATTCACCCTCCTGGCAAAGGGTTCAATCGAGCCGGTTCCTCCAGCCGAGATGGAGAGCGGGTTCTACAGCCCGTACTTCATCGTACCCATAAAGAGCGGTGGGTCACGGCCAATCCTAGATCTGTCCGTTTTGAATCTCTGTCTTCACAAGCTGCCGTTCAGAATGCTTACGCAGAAGCGCATCCTCCGATGCGTTCGTCCTCAGGATTGGTTTGCAGTCATAGACCTGAAAGACGCGTTTTTTCATGTCTCCATTCTTCCACGCCACCGCCAGTTTCTGCGGTTTGCGTTCGATGGTCGAGCATGGCAATATAAGGTCCTCCCCTTCGGGCTCTCTCTGTCTCCGCAGGTCTTCACCAAACTCG